GCAATAATCTTGCGGTCAAACTTGCGTTCAACAAGTGCTTGGAAGTTTTGAAAAACTTGAAAGACTTCGGACCTCTTCTTGAGAAGATAAATCCACGAGAATTTGCTATAGTCATCAATAAAGCTAACGTAATATGTGTGCCTACCAACCGAGCTAGGAGCAGGGCCCCAAACATCAGAAAATATTAATTGCAAAGGTTGAGTAGAAACACTAGTTGATATGGGATATGGTAACTGATGACATTTTGTTCTTTGGCAAGAATCACAAATAGTCTCAATGTTGCGCTCACCAACAAACGGGAGCTTATTTTTTTTAAGCAAACTTTCAACTAAGGAAAAAGAAGCATGTCCTAAACGATCATGCCATCGTGTGGACGAGAGCTTGATAGCACCACAAGCTTGTTTATTTGATCTTCGAAACTCCGGAATCAACGGGTAAAGCCCTCGAACGCATCTACCTCGATAGAGAATTCTCCTCGTGGCCTGATCCTTAATCAAGAAGAAAGAGGGATGAAACTCAATGAAAACATGATTATCAATGGTGATGCGATGAACGAAGAGAAGATTCTTATTGGCCCTAGGAACATGCAAGATTTTTCGAAGATGAATTTTGCGGGAAGGGTTATGAATAACTGAGTGACCTATGTGATGTATGCTCATACCTGCACCGCTGGCTGTATGAATCTGATCCTTCCCATGATATTTCTCACGGAGAGTTACCTTCTCCAGCTCGCCGTGAGGTGGTTGGTGGCACCACTATCGAGATACCAGTTGGTATCCACACCATAGGAGCCATCAGCAGCCGCCGCCACCTTGTCATCTTCTTCAGACGTCGCCTCGTCCTCATCAAACCGGTACCAACAGTCTTTAGCTGTGTGGCCAGGTTTCCCACAGATTTGACAGCGCACGGCGTCGGGACGAGACCGGCCAGATCCGCTTCGCCGCCCCCTGTTGCTGGTGGAGTTGGGACGGCCAGAGTGTGAACCAGGGCCGGTGGAGTTGCTGGGGCCGCCTTGCTTGCCCTCGGGACGAGGAGGACCGCGGTGGCGAGCTGAGTATCCACCACGCCCGCGGGTGGCCGCATTCGCAGATGACTTGAAGCCGCCGCCGGAGTTCTGGAAGTGAGCCACGCGCTGATCGAAGTTACTGAGCATGGCGAAGAGCTCGTCGAGGGTGACGGGCGTGACGCGGGCGTCGAGAGCTGAGGCCAGGGGCTGGTAGTCCATGTCCAGCCCGTGCAAGATATAGGAGATGAGCTCGTCGTCCTGGATGGGTTTGCCCACCGCGGCGAGTTCATCGGCAAGCCCACGCATGAAGGCGAAGTAGGCAGCGACGGACTGGTTGCCCTTTTGAGCGTCGATGAGGGCGGTGCGAATGTTGTTGACGCGGCTCAAGGATTGCGAAGAGAACATGCCCGCCAGCGCCGACCAGAGGCCGTGCGCGGTGGTGATCGCGGTCACCGTGATCAGCACCTCCTTGGAGAGGTTGCTGAGGAGATAGCCGAGCACCTGCTGGTCCTCCCTGACCCAGATGGGGTGGAGAGGGTTGGGCTCGGAGGTTTCCTTCCCATCCTTGTCCTTGGTGACAAGACGAGGCGCTGGTTCGGGCATGGTGCCATCGGCATAGCCGAAGAGACCTGCCCCTCTCAGCTGGGGCGTGATCTGAGTACGCCAGAGCACATAGTTCGTGCGAGAGAGTTTCTTCGGAACCTGGCCATTGAGGTTTGCGTGGAAGGTGGCGGAGGAAGACATGGAGGCTAGCGCTACTGGATTTCTGGAACCCTAGATGAGATTGGAAGAGGAGGCTCTGATTACCATGTGCGACTAGGCGGAAGCGTCTTACCTCGATGTGAGGGACGCGTTACGTGTTATATGGAGCAGGGGCGCAACTCCCTGACAGGCGCATACATACGGTAGTTTAGATCTTCTAGGAAGATTACATCTTGGGGAGGAAGAGATAAGAGAGAGGTTACAATATGAGATATAAGATAAACATTCAAACAATCTACTCTATCTATCTCTATCATGGGCCGGTGTGTGGCTCAATGACCGTGACATGTTTACATGTTTGACAGACCCTGCATGGAAATTGCCAGGCTTCGTATCGACACGTCACAATCTGTTTGTACCACACACCACCCTTCCGAACCCGCCAAAAAAATCACCCAGCTTCTTCTATCCTGATAGTACAGTAAAACTGGGTGAGGATGAATCATGTTGGAAATTGGAACAGTTTTCCCTCCAGAAATGGACAGGGCAATAAAACCGCGTCAATAAACTCTCCATGTGCAGCACTGCGAAGCGTCAGTCTCGGCCGGGGTTCTTCTTACTTCTATCTTGCCAAGGTAACATGGTTAATTCGCTGCCCTAATCAGGAGGACCCAGGATGAAGGGAAATGCTTTCTGCTGTCCAAAATCCAAATCCTAGACATGCCAACTGGCGACAAGCAAGACAAGTTATCTATCCACCAATTAAAATGGATGGCAATACAGTCATTAGAGCCACAAATCGCTCATGTTTAGATACAGAGTTTAACAGCTGACATCAGTGCCCAGCTAGCCCCTCAAACAGAGACATGTTTGATGCTACAAAAGATTGGCCTGCGTTATGTGTGTGTGTCTTATCCTTCTTGTCAGAAAGCCATTAGCCAAGCAGCGATCTGCCCAATGGCGGCGACGATTGCTACTACACTTGTCCTGTGACCAAGTCTTGTTTGTAACGGCCGACCGAGCAAAACAAGAAGAAGCTATGACCGAGTCTTGGGGCTGTGCCTCGTCGGCCTGGTGTGGAACCTTGGCTCCCTGGGAACTGTCTGGGGCTTCACTGACCTGCATTTCCATCCAAGAACAAAACGTTCATTTAGCTGATGACAATAGGTTGAAATGATCAACCAACCAGCCACAGTTCATGTCTCATCACACAAATAGAGCATGATCATCAGATGGCAAAATGTTTTTGCTACCTTTTGGGCATGAATGGCCTCGAGAAATCCGGCATTGGGTGCGCCCTCGGCACCTGCTCTTTCCTCAGCAGTTTGATCTCAATCTCTTCATCCAGCTGCAAAACACAAAAGAAATGCATGCCACATGCCACATGTCGGTTAATTCTTGCATCTGGATCAATGCCATGGGACAACAACTCTTGATTCAATTGTAGCTACCTTCTGCTGCCTCTCCTTCTCCAGCTCCAGCCTCTCCAGGAAGATGTTGCGCTCCGCGATCTGCAGGAGCGAAGAACAGCCATTACGTTTGCATAGACTCTTTTTTGACTTTGTGAGCCAAAACTCTGTTACCATGCAATGTAGTGTGCTACTGCTTACCTGATGATCAAACTTGGAGCGACCGACAGCACGAACTGCGCTATGAAGCACGACATCGAACGGTTCAGTGGGCTCTTTCGTCGGCGGTTTCGCCAGATTCTACACCCAAAAATGAGGAATTATTTCAAGTAAGGTTGCACTTGAACATGTTTTGCGGGTTTCAGTGACAAGAAAAACATGGTCTTATACTGAACTATACTGAAGAACTAATTTTTTCAGTTAACCTTCACGTGAGATATCATGCTCATTGCTCTAGCAAAATACAGTAAAGAGTAAAGAATTAACCAAGAACCTCAGTGTGATCGTGGTTCGTTGGCGTACCTCCGGTTCTTCGGTGGTCCATGGGAGAGCTTGCGCGAGCGGGTTGCGCAGCCTCTCCTCCTCCAGCAGCATCTCCCTCATCATCTGAACAAAGTTGCCTTCCTTCACCCTTCCCCTTTGCTGAAAAACAACAACAGAAATGCAGTTTCTTCAGTCACCAATCATGTGCAATTTTTGAACCAACTGTCCAAGAACAAAAATGTGTAGATACCTCGGTCCTAAGATTGAACGGATGAGGCCTCGTCGCCTTCCTACACGAGCTCCTCTCCGACGAGCCAGCGCTCTGCGATCCGGGGACGAAGAACGTAAACACAAAATTCACCGAAGATTCATCTTAAAACTCAGCCAAATTGGACAATTCTGAATACCAAACTCACGTTGCATCTCCTGACCTGATGCTCGTCTCGCGCACCGCTGCTGCTCCTGCTGGATTTATCGCGAGAAGATTTACATCAGTACGTTATGTGGGCAGAGAGAATCAGGAACGGCAATGGATGGATCAGAGCATTGATCGATTGATGAACCTGTTGCGGCGGGGGAGGCCGATGATGCAGTAGGAGAGGTCGGACGACGACGCGACGGAGGGGTACGACGCCATGTCGATCTCCTCGGCCTTCCGCGGCGACGACGGCACCGAGGCCGACTCCTTCTTCCTCCTCCTCGTCCCCGCGCCGCCTCCGCTCTGCGCCTCGCGGTCGCCGCGGGACAGGGACAGGAGCCTCTCGAACGTGTCCACCAGGTACCTGACGCGGCCCTCGCCGTGCTCCGGGATGCCGGCCATGGCCTCCTCGAGGGTCGCGCTCCACGCCGCGCTCCTCCGCGAGGCCGCCTCCCCGCGCCGCCGTCCTTGCCCCTGCTCCTCCTCCGCCGCGACGTCGCAGGGAGACGAGAGCCTCGCCCTGACCTTCTTCTGGCAGAGCTCGTCGGAGAAGTCCCACAGCGGCGCGCGCGGCGCCTCGTACGGCGCCGCCGCCGCCGGCGGCGCGGGAGTCGAGCTATTCCTAGAAGACGACGGTTCCAGCTTCTTCCTTCTCGGCGTCCTCGATGACGACGGCCTCTTGGAACCAGGCGTCGAGCAGGACCGCCTGTTCTTGATCACCGCCTTGGTGCCGACGACGAAGGCGGGCTTCACCGCCGCCGCCGCCGCCGCCGCCTCGCCGGAGAACTTGTTGAACCGGCGGAGGCACTCCTTGAACGACATCCCGTCGAGGGGCTCGACGTTCTCCGAGCCCTCCGTCCTCGGCAGCACCCGCCTCCTGGCCGCCGACAGCGACGCGACCGCCGCGAACGGCCGCCGCGCCCTGGGCCTCCTCCCCGCCGCCGGCGTGGCCATCGCACGTCTCCGACCCCAAGCAGCAACAACCACGACGATCGACGCGGACGGCGGTTGATGGCGGAGCAGCAATGAATTCGATTCGCGATTGCGGGGCACGGAACGGAACGAGGCGGAGATTTATAGGGGAGGAGGCGATTCGAAGAGGAACAGGTGTCATCGTAACGTTGGTGGCGTGCGCCAGCCTAGGGGGCAACGGCTAGTGGCGGTTTGCGATCGCCCGCGGATTCGCTGGGCCGTTGGATGGGAGGGGAGACGGCACTACAGCCGTCGATGAGCTAGTAATTAGTAGTATTATTTTGGCCGTAATTAATTTCTGCTATATACTATACTACTACTAGTACATTCATTCAAAATTGTATTTGTGTTCTGGCAGGGCCTGTTTATGAGATTTTTGTTTGGCTTTGGGTGAGAAGAACGGTAAAAAAGAAATCGGTTTGAGTGAATGGATCCTTGGTAATTATCGCCCGGTGTGTTTTTTATGGGGTGTAATACCGCTGATGATTTTGATTTGCTCGTGATTTTGGTTCCTTGCGATTTGCTGGCTATTACAGCGGGATTTGCACGGTGAATTTGTTTGAGTGCGTGCGTGCATGCATGCTTCACTTCGTATGTATCGCCTCATGCTTGTTTTCATGGTTGAGCCAATTCTCTATGTTGTTGTTTTTTGGAAAAAGTCCAAAATAAACCATGAAATTATAGACGAAAGCTAAATAAAACCCTGAACTTTGAATCCCGGAAATTGGCACTCTGAACTTGCAATCTCGGTCTATTTTGAATCCTAGACCTGTTTGGCACACCGGGAATATTACAATCCCGTTCGGGATAACCAGCTACTCTCACTGACCAAATTTGGGCCGGCCCACTATAACACAACAAGAATTCGTTAAGTTTAAAAAATGTTCGTACATTTCTAAAATTGTTCAAAAGTTAAAAAAATGTTCCTGTTGTATATTTTTGGCACGAATTCAATTCATTTATGTTTTTAAAAATATATTTAGAGTTCTGAAATTCTATTCACTTTTTAAAAACTGTTCGCAATTTCAATAAAAAAACAAAAAAGTTCAGAATTCCAACAGTTTTTCACATGCTATAAAAATGTCTCAGGTTTTCATAATTGTGTCACATTTTTTGAATAATGTTTTTGGAATTTCATAAATTGCAAAATTCCTTGTCGGGTAAGTTCCGACCCGCACGAAAGGCGTAACGATCTGGGCACTGTCTCAGAGAGAGAGGCTCGTTATTTTGTATACAATATTTTTTAAAAATGTATTGGATTGTTGGCTGCGGACTCGAGTGGCCGGCCCACCAGATATAAAGCAAGTATTTCTTTCTTATCACGCGCCGTAAAAATTCTTTCTTTCTGTTCTTAATGCGCGACATAATAATTCCAAAAGAGAAAAACATGCCATGGAGTCAAACTTGGGACCTGGCAGGGTTGACCTGATTTTGCTAGCCACCACACCAGACGACTATGACTTACATAATAAGAGGCTGAATTTTTTTAATCAGAAACCAAAGCGTTGAACTTTGAATTTTTTTAAGGGCTAACAAGTATTAAAAACGTATTTATTTCTGAAATATTCGAACATTTTATTTGAATACTTTAAAAAACCATCAACTTTCAAAAAGAGAACACCTTTTGAAACATAAACATTTTTTAAAGCTGAACAAAATTTTAAAGTGCAAACACTTTTTGAAACATAACTTTTTTCTGAAACCTGAACAAAATTTTAAAGTGCAGACACTTTTTGTACAATGTGAAAAAATGTTTGCGTGTTGTAAAAAAATGTGTCATAACCTTAACAGAATATATGTGACATGTGTTTGAAAAAAGTGTATGCAAATTTTAAAATGGTAAACCATGTAAAAGAGTGTTCATATAGTTTTATAAAATGTTTATTGTCATTAAGAAAATGTAAAACATGTATTTGGACAAATATTACCATGTATTCAAAAAAGTTTTGAAAACATTTAATTTAAAAATGCCCATAATGTATTTTTAAAAAACTAAGAAAAAACAAATTAGTGCGCGCGCAACGCGCATGAGCGACTGCGCTACTTGGCCGGCTCAATTCTACAAATACCGGCGAAGTCCTCTCAAGGTTTAAAATAGAACGGGATTAAAGAGTTTGGTGTGCTGATTTCAGGGGTTGAGAGTTCGAGGTTTGGTTTAGCTTTCACCTACTAATTCAAGGTTTGTTTTGAACTTTTTCCGTGTTTTTTTGGCAGTTAGAACCTTGTGCTTGGTGATTTCAAAACAAAAAAACTTGCGTTCTGTAGAATCAATTGGCAATTCACATCTCACCTTTCCATCCATTCATTTATTATTTTATTTCAAAATAATAAAGGGTCATATATTTCAAACTAAATATACAATTTGGGATCCCTTTCCATCATCATATTTATCATGACAAGGTCATTCAAGCAAGGCAAAGGTTGACTCTGATTTTGAAATTTGAGAAATGCGTTATAAAACTCCGATGAAAACATTGATGACACTTTTATGAGCCAAATATTTTTATGGATGCATGTTTTATGTGGCCTTACGCGACTTTCGGTATGATTTCATTGTTTCATATGGTAGGATCATTTGAATCTATAGGGGTGCAGAGACTACAACAAAATTAAATATAGTCGGTTTTCATTAATGCCAATTTTAGGATTAAGCTAGAAATTTAAAGATCGGAAGCAAACTTGCATGAAAGTAGAGGGGGTAAGAAAAAAGATCATGAACACAACTTTTTTTTCCTGAAATTTGAATTGTTGGTGCAATCATACTCCTTGTTTGTGAAGGTTCAGACAAAAATTCTTAAGGTGCACAAGGACCTCAACAGCCTGCAAAGCGCAGACCAACCTATCTCATCATGACTTGATACCACATAGGACAAAGCCTCACTCGGGTGGATCTTCACACAATGTAGGAGATCTTTGTCTTCACAAACTTCTTGGTTCCTTCACAACCTAAAGGATCCCAAGCATACTTAGCCGATCTAGGAGGGTCCGAACGAGACTTGGGAAATTGGATATAACATTGTTCTAGCTCAGAGATCACACAACATTCGATAGGTCCAACCTATGCTAGAACACATGGATTTTGTTACTTGGTGTATCTCAAAGTGTCCGAGCTAAACTCACTCGAAGTGATCGAACAACACTTTGAATTAAAGCTTAACAACTTTGAGGTACCACACAAAAGACACTCGTAGGTACCAAACAAGAGTCAGAAGTTGTCGGCGTTCTCGGAACCAGGGTACCCAGACTTGCCTGCCTGCGGCCCACGACGTGGCTCCATCAACGGCCTCATATGATCCATCTTTAGCCACGACAAGACAAGACCCTCGCGAGGCGGACAACATCAAGACCTCCTAAAGGAGCGGCCTCCCCAATCGGCCTTCTGAGTGTTGGGGAACCCGGTAATTTCAAAAAAAAAATCCTACGATAACGCAAGATCTATCTAGGTAATGCATAGCAACGAGAGGGGAGAGTGGTGTCTACGTACCCTTGTAGACCAAAAGCGGAAGCGTTATGACAACATGGTTGATGTAGTCGTACGTCTTCACGACCCGACCGATCCTAGCACCGAAGATACGGCACCTCCGCGATCTGCACACGTTCAGCTCGGTGGCGTCCCACGAACTCTAGATCCACCTGAGGTCGAGGGAGAGTTTCGTCAACACGACGGCGTGGTGATGGTGATGATGAAGTTACCGGCGCATGACTTCGCCTAAGCACTACGGCGATATGACCGAGGTGGAAATCTGTGGAGAGGGGCACCGCACACGGCTAAACAATCAACTTGTGTGTTCTAAAATGCCCCCCTGCCCCCATATATAAAGGAGGGAGGGAGGAGGAGGCCGGCCAGGGGAGGAGGCGCGCCAAGGGGGGGCAATCCTACTCCAAATAGGTTTGCCCCCCCCCTTTCCTATTCCAACAAGGAGAAGGGGGAAGGAGGAGGTGGAGAGAAGGAAGGAGAGGGTGGCGCCGCCCCTTCCCCTTGTACAATTCGGACTAGGG